ATAAACCCATATAAAAAGGGTCATAGCAGCCCTAAAGAGATTAATGGCGAAATATCGGCCTGCTATTCCCTGCAAACATCGATTGCTTGAACAGTGCTGTTGAACGCATACTGCTAGACGCTGGGCACTCTGTTAACTCACGCAAACAAATTGCGATTCGCTCAGAAACTTCACAAAAAAAAAGAAAACAAAACAAAAAAAGAAATATTTAAAGCCAAAACAAGGCAGTTCCTGCTACTGCACCGACACGCGACCATGAGTACAACGTTCAAGAACCTGAAGCTGGGCCATTTCGGTGGCGGCGGTGCTGGTATCGTAGGCAGTGGCGGAGGTGGTGCTGGTGGAAGCATCGGCGGTGCCTTTGGAATGGCAATATCTGGTGGAGTCGCTGGTAAGATGCCTCTAAATGGCGGGGGTGGCGGCGGAGGTAAGGGCGCGTCTGCGGCAGCTGCAGCCGAGTCGGAGGTATTTCTGACGCCCAGCGGTGTTATCATCCCCCTTATCCGCACTAGGGATATGCCAAAGAGGCTGCCCACGATGTCGGCAGCTCTACAGCGGCCCTCCGATGACCATTTGTCGGCCGAGGATCTGGATGCAGTGCAACTCGAACTGGAGCAGCTGCTCTCGAATGTGGCTCTGCGTGCGCGCGTCCTCAAGGCCGAATACGACAGTGTGGACAAAGATGAGAAACGCAACGACCGTCGCAAGTTTGACCGCGTGGCTGGATCGCCGCCGTGCACCAGCAACAATGCCATGCTGAATGCCATGCTGGGCATAGGAGTAGGCGGAGCCAGCGGCGGCTTGGGCAGTCCATCGGGCACCTCGTCGAGCCTGGCCAAGCGGAAGCGGGACGAGCCGACAGGCGTGCGCAAGAAGCACTCATCCATGACCATTCTAAAGGGCGGCCTCGGCCCTTCCGGCAACTCGAGGCACTCAAAGAACAGTCCAATGGCCGTGCACACAGACGACAGCATGGACTTCCTACCATCCTCGAACCTGATCCTGCCCATGTTGCCGCAGCTGCCGAAGCTGGCGATGCCAAAGAACGATATGCCGAACAAGTTCTGGCTCTCGGTGGAGCCGTACTGCATGCCGATTACAAATGAGGATCTGCGCCTCATCGATGACCTTTTGGAGCAGTATCGTGGCCCCCTGGTGCCGCCCGTACCCACACTGGGACCGCATTATTCCACAGTGTGGGCGCAGGAGGACATGAAGGCGTTGCAGCCGGGCGGATCGCGCATCAAGTCACATAATGCCTCGGCCATGTTGAAGAAGGCTGAGGGAATGGTGGAGGAGAGCATCACGGGTCCCCTCACCCAACGCCTTGTCACAGCCCTAATGGAGGAGTCGCTGCTGACGTTGCCCAGCGAGCAGGCGGCTGTGGGAGAGCACAGCAACAGCACCACAAGCAGCAGCAACGACAACTCTCATACGCACTCTCATTCGCACTCGCATCTGTCCTCCGCCAACTCGGGAGCTCCTGCAGCCAGCGGCAACTTCCGACCACTCTCGATGCTCAAGCACGGCGTGGGCATTGAGCAGCGTCTGAAGAAGGAACTGCTGGAGAATGGCCTGATGGATGCCAGCGACTGCCAGCCTCCCGAAGACATGGACGAAGTGCTGCACGAGATCAAGCGCGTCACGTCGGAGATCAGCACCGTGTCCACGTTCAACAGCGAGGAGCTGAAGCGCCTCCGTGTGGCGGCCAGCGACGAAATAAAGCGCATCGAGCTCAAGCGCAAGCTGGACATGATTGACACGGAGATACTCGAGTGCTACAAGCGAATGCTGCAGTATCGGGCAAAGCGAAAGGGGCACACCGTCGAGGAGAAACAGGAGATTCTACGCCTCACCAAAGAGCAGCGCATTCTGGCCGATCAGCTGGAGCGCATGAACATTCTGCCGCCCCTAGGCCCCTCCTCCAATATGATGGACGGAAAATTGTAGGACAGGGGCATGGCCTGGAGCTGGTGCCAGCTGGTGGCCATGCATCGGGCAATCGGGCAAGAACGCGGAGATGTTCTCTTGCAGCTTCAATGTTTCTGAATCGTTTGAAAGAGAGAGTCTCTTCTCTTCCCCCTCTCCAGCTCTTGGCTCCGACAGATGTACAATAACACAGCAGACATACATAGCCATATGTATGATACTTAAACATACTTAAGCTATACATATATATAAATATATATATTGATTTTATGTAGAATATGTAGCTTAAAAGAAGACTTCTCCTTATCGTGCACTTCCACTTTCACATGCAAAAAACACACACGACACTTTCTGTATAGCTTTGGTTATCGCGAAGGCAATAAAATTACCCTTTTAATTTAGAGATCCGTGTATCTGAATCTCTGTATCTTCGCTCAGCGAACGCTGCCTGCGCTTTGAGCTAGATGCCACCAACAGGGCCAGCGAAGAGGCCTCGCCTCGCCCTCCGGCAGCGGAAGCTGCTACCAGCGCACAGCTTTGTTTACCCTTTGGTTCGATAAGCCAGCGACCAGCCTTCCTAGCTGGCGGCTAATTAAATCCAAACAGAAGTGACAAGAACCAAAAGCCAAAGTTTATGCACTGTGTACACGGTTCTCCTCCTCCTTCTTCCGTTCTGTGGGTGTTCTGTTCGAACGGAAACGCAATCAGATTACAAATACTCGACTCTTCTTTAGTTTATTGCAGTCTCAAATGTGATATTCCGATACAAGGCAGCGTTAAAACGCTTCTATACACTGGTAAACATGGATGGTGGTTGGGTGTTTGTTCTGGCTGTGTTGTACTTCATTTTTGCGAGCGGTGCAGTGGAACCTCATGGCAAAACATTCATCGGTAAAGGCAGCATTCAGGAGACCAGCATGGTCAAGGATTTTGCATCTCGTTTCAGGTAGCAGGTTCTGCTAAAAGAAAAAGAAACTCGCAGGTTGGCCAGCAGGCAAGGACATGTCTCTATCTCTCTCTCACCTTGGATTTCTAGATTCTTCTTGAGCTTGCTCCTATGATTAGCGTTAGACGCAGCCATTCAACCAGGGAAGACATTATAGCTTTCAGACCCTTTGTCGTGGTGTCCGGCTCGTCCTTGCAATCGCTTGAGAGGTTCAAGCATAACTTCTCAAACGATTGAAGGGACAAGCAGGACAGCAAGAGAAAGGATTTAACAGCTCATAAAGTCTTGCTTGGTTTAACGGCCGGTGTGCAGCAAAAAAAGGAGAAATCTATTTCCTTCTTGTCGCTTTGTCCTCGGCCAGATGACTACTTCAACGACTTTCTAATTTTCAGTCTGTGACAGCCCCTGAGTGTTAGTAAACATCGTTTTGGTACACAATCATGGCGTCTTATTTGGCCTGGCGAAACAGGTACCTACACTTAGACTAGATTGGTGTCAAAATGTAGTGTACTACGACCATTGGACAATCTACATATGTAAATATGTGAGCCACTCAATATGAACCACTGAACAAACGACAAACTAACTCGCTCTAACACACCTTGCTTTTCAAATAAGAACAACCCCTGCTCTTTCAATTAGGCTGTTAGCAAGATCTAATGTCATATGGCCCGTGAGGCCTAGTGTCATACGACACAGATACTCGATGGTTCGTTCGTTTACAACACTATATTCCTGCTATCTATATAAATAAGCAACCGGTGTCTTTGCCTGCTTTCACATTACGTTTGTCGCCTTGTCGCTGGCCTTTTGTGCATTGTACAAAGTTCTCTGTAACTAAATAACGTTGTAAACTGATAAACAATATCAATATGATCAAGGTATGCTTTAGTGTTATTTATGGTGCCCCCAATCCCAAAATGCATGAAGAGAAATACCCTGGCCGGGTGCAAAGTCCAATGGGGATTTGAACCCGTGTCATCGGCAAATAGAATAACTGTATAACTGTATACATATGTGTATGTGCACCTTGTACCCTGAACAATTAGCATGTTCGTTGCTCCGGAGCGTTATACAATAACAAATCTCTGTCTGTCCCGCAGAACGCCGTCTCTTTGGTGACCGGTGGAGCCTCCGGTCTGGGTCGCGCTACAGCCGAGCGTCTGGCCAGGCAGGGTGCCAGCGTGGTGCTCGCCGACTTGCCGTCTTCGAAGGGCAATGAAGTGGCCAAGGAGCTGGGCGACAAGGTGGTCTTTGTTCCCGTCGACGTCACCTCGGAGAAGGATGTGAGTGCAGCCCTGCAGATCGCCAAGGATAAGTTCGGCCGCCTAGATCTCACCGTCAACTGCGCCGGCACAGCGACGGCCGTGAAGACCTTCAACTTCAACAAGAATGTGGCCCATCGGCTGGAGGACTTCCAGCGGGTGATCAACATCAACACGGTGGGCACCTTCAATGTGATTCGCCTGTCCGCGGGCTTGATGGGCGCCAACGAACCCAACCAGGATGGCCAACGCGGCGTCATCGTGAACACTGCCTCTGTGGCTGCCTTCGACGGGCAGATTGGCCAGGCTGCCTACGCGGCCTCCAAGGCGGCTGTGGTGGGCATGACCCTACCCATTGCCCGGGACCTCAGCACCCAGGGCATTCGCATCTGCACCATTGCCCCGGGCCTGTTCAACACACCCATGCTGGCGGCCCTGCCCGAGAAGGTGCGCACCTTCCTGGCCAAGAGCATCCCCTTCCCCCAGCGACTGGGCGAGCCGAGCGAGTATGCTCATCTGGTGCAGGCCATATTCGAGAATCCCCTGCTCAACGGCGAAGTCATCCGCATCGATGGTGCACTGCGCATGATGCCCTAAGATCACTGAAAATGGGGGAATTATCAATGAGCTCGATCAGTTTGCATTTATCCCAATGTGCCTCAAACGTGGCCTTGTAACGCTAACGCCCTGTTTTACTATATTTCTAATTTCTAATTAAGTCGAAAGTTTTATTCTTCTGCACGAAATTATGTAATAATTGCTAATAAAAAAATGAAGTTCTACATTTTGAATATGGGCGAAGTGACTACTGGAGGACGTCTTGCAGCACTGGCCCCTGCACACGCTGGTAACCCTGCTCATCTGAGTACAACGGCAACCCTGCACACCGGCTGCAAATTGTAAACAAATAAATTCGCCCAAACAACTTGGATAAGCATGCCGCCGTATCAGCGCTGCGGGGAGATAGTCTGCCTGTGGAAGCGGCAGACAAAGGCATTCGCCTTCCAGTGCATCTACTGCCGGGATGAGGAGCAAAGCAGGACACTCAAAGACTTTAAGTCGCATCTGGAATCGAAACACGCGGCTCTGTTTGAAGATCAGGAGGCTGCGCAGACAGCCAGCACGGAGCCGGCCGTCGAGCAAGCTTTGGCCACTGACACAAATGATGCGCCTGTGGAGTGCTTTGAGCCAGAGACAATGTTGGACTGGCCCAGCCAGAGCAGCATCTCCCAGGAGTCCTCCCAGGAAGCGGCAGATGTAAGCTTAGCACTACTTCACTCCCCATCCCCCATATCCATGTCTTTACTGTTCTTAGTTGCAGCCAACCGGCACAGACACCTCGCACTTCTGGCTGCAGGAGCACCCCATCATGCTGGCATTCATCGGGCAGGTGGAGGAGCAGCGTCTGCTCTGGGACTTGGGTATGCTGGCCTACCGCAACTACAAGCGTCGAAGCGAAGCCTGCGCCACTATCGCTGAGCGGCTGAACGCGCAGTTTGATCTACAGCTAACGGGCGAAGAGGTGGCCGGTCACACGAAGCGGCTGCAGGATGTCTATCGGCGGGAGAGGCAGCGTCTGGAAAGGGATTCGCCCACGGCCCCACACTGGTACTACGCAAAGTTGGGCTTCCTGGCGAAGAGTTTGCGGCGCAAGCGGCATCCCAAGATGTCCATGTCCGTGCCGGTGCCCCATCTGAGCCATCAGCAGTGCCTGAAACTCATTGAGATCTATCGGCAGTGCAGCGGCAACTGGGACATGCAGGATTTGTCCTGCCGCCTGCGTCACGTACGAGACGCGGCCAAGGAGAAGCTGCTGGCGCTGTGTCGCACCGAGCTGCAGATACCCCTGCTGGAGCCCTCGCTGCTGCAGCGTTACACCCGAAATCTGCGCACCGCCTACCAGCAGGAGAAGTTGCGACGCATCCAGTGCGAGCGTCAGGGCGCTGCCGGTGTGGTATTCACGCCCCGTTGCCGCTACTACGAGCAGCTGCGTTTCCTCGAGCCACATGTGGCTCCCTTTCAGTGTGATCTGTGCGAGCAGCTGCTGAACAGTGTGGACGGCTACAAGGTGCATCGGGCCGAGCACGACGGCAGCCAGCCGTTCGTGTGCCCCATCTGCGACAGGGGCTTCTCGCGCAGCGGCAACTGCACGATCCACCTGCGACGGCATACGCACGACTATCAGCTGGGCTGCGAGGAGTGTGGCAAGCGATTCGCCACCACCTCGGACCTGCAGGTCCACCAACGCTCGCACACCGGCGAGAGACCCTTCTGCTGTGACACCTGCGGCAAGCGCTTCAGCACGAAGTCCTTCTTCGAGCGCCATCGCCGGCGGCACGAGCAGCGGCCCCGCGGCAAGTGTCACATCTGCGGCAAGAGCTTCTTCGAGCAGTCCGTGCTGAATGACCACATCAAGGGGCATCTGAATGTGCGCGACAAGGAGTGCGACATCTGCCACAAGACCTTCACCAGCTGCAAGTATCTGCGCCAGCACAAGGAGATCCATAATCCCCAAAAGCGTTACAGCTGCAAAATATGTGCCAAGAGCTTTGCCCAATACGCCGGACTTAGTGGCCACATGAAGTCACATGGCCGTGCAGCAAAACTATGCTAGCAACTGCATAGCGAGAGACCACAACATCTAGGAGACAATTGAAGGCGAGAAAGGTGGATTGATTGTGTGATTCACGGAACAAAGCAAAAGCCAACAGGCCACAGGGAAGTGGAAGTGGAAGTGGAAGTGGAAGGGCTTGGATCCAAGTGGAAACCTTTTTTAGCTGATTATCGCCAATAGTTTTATTTTTAATACGCATTTGTATATAAGCAGCCGCATTTGTTTGGCTCTCCCGCGACTCAGCTCGACTCGACCTTTATCTTATCACTTTGCGCCATGGAAGTGCCAAAGGCAAGAGCAGGCAAGGGCGATAAGAGGGAGTGACAGAGAGTGCAGAGAATTCGATTTGAATTGTTTTGCTCAGTCGGAAATTGGAGCTGCCTGAGAATTATCCATGTGTCCGTGACCGCGGCGTGGCCAGGCGTTATACGATACCCAAAACGAAGAGGTTGTTGCTGTTGCTGTTGCTGTTGCTGTAGCTGCTGCCAACGGATATTGGCACTTGAGAAGCGGAAGGAGTGCGGCTACAGTGAGCACTCAGTTGGGTTACCACAGTACCAAGTAGGAAGATATTCGCGGCTTTATCTGTCATTCCATTCAATAGTCATAAACTAATTATACGCACGATTGTCGTCCACAGTTGCTGTCTCTGACGTCACTTGCCACCCCACCCACAGCCACACCAAAACAGCAGCAAGCAGACAGGGAGGCAGGGGAGTTGGGGGTATTGCCGCCTGGTCAGCTGCCGCATTTGCGATAAGCTCGACCAAGTGCAGCTGCAGCTGCAGCGAAGCCCGATAAACGACTCGCGAGAAACAGAGAGCAACGACAGCGATGCAGACGACAAACAATGGCAGACCAATGCTTGTGGCAGTGCCAGTGTCTCTGCCAGTGACGCCTGGAACACCAGACTCGGCGCACATCATAATCGGCGCCGCTGGCTTTGCAGCCCACGAGAGACGACAGCCCCGTGAGAAGACTTTGATGAATTGCTTTCGCGATCGCTCCACATCGTCCACAGGCGGTGGACCGCCGCCAGCTTACTATATGCGCGGACACAGCACCAACTCGGCGACGCTGCTGCGCCTGGAGAGCAGCGCGGGCGGAGGCTCGGGCAACGCCCTGGATCAAGCGGGCATCGAGGCCGGACGACCGGAGGCCGTTCGCTGGGTGCGTGAGCTAAAGTCAAAGCCCAACAAGCTGGCGCTGCTCAAGAGCAGCAGCACAAGAGACTTGACGAGGCTGCTGCTCGAGGATGCCAATGGGAGCACGAGCACGGCGGTGCTGGTGTCCAACACCAGCCTGGACGTGTGCTCCTCCAACTCCAGTTCGGCCAGCAGTCCCCTGGCCAGCGGCAGGGCCAAAGCGCGGGCCAGGGATCGGGATCGGGATCGGGAGTGCTGCAGCAGCTGCTCCAAGCGCTGGCACGAGCTCAAGCAGCGCATGCACACGATGGAGCAGGATCTGCTGGCACAGGCCAGCTACAGCCAGGAGCTGGAGGCCAAGCTGCTGGAGCTGACCCGCCAGCTGGGCGAACTGATGCAGGACAAGGACAAGGACAGGGACAGGGACAGAGAGAAGCAACGCGGTGTAGCAGGTGGTGGGCCGGGCAAGAGCAATGTGAGACCCTCGCGCCTGGTGGCCTGGATGAATCTGTCCAATTGGTGGAAGAGCAGGCCCAGCGTGGAGACGCTGCGCGAGCAGCGCATCTTCTTCGACGAGCCCTGCTTCGACACGGAACTGGAGCTGGTGCTGAAGCACGATCAGCAGCGCACTGTGCCCCGCATCGTGGTCGATTGCTGTGACCTCATCGAGCACAAGTATCGCCGCTCGACGCAGCCCATCGAGGGGATATACCGGCAGTGCGGTGACTACAACAAGATCCAGACGCTGCGCTTCAGCATCGATGCGAATGACTATGAGGCACTGCGGCAGACGGATGTCGACATACACACACTAACGGGTGTCCTAAAGCTCTTTCTGCGCGAGATTAAATCTCCGCTGGTCAGTGTAAACGAGGCAAAGACCTTCATTGGCACACCCCATCAATGGTGTACGTATAGCCCCATTCCCAGCCAGAATCCCTCGAGTAAGCTTAAGTTTATGTTCCCTTTTCGTAGTGCTCACCGAACTGGCCCACAAGCTGGATACATTGAAAAGACTGATACGCTCGCTGCCGGAGAGCAATCGGGACACCATGGACTACATTTTTGGTCACTTTAATCGGTAAGTGAAGCGACGCTCACGCTCAGCCCTTCCTCTCGTTCAATGCTGTCAATGCTTTCATGGTCCCAGGCTTACCAAGGTGCCGCTGCAGCAGATCAGCGCCGAGACGCTGTCCATTTCGGTGACGCCATCCATATTCCATACGGTGCCGCAGGGTGTGCACATGCAGGACATACAGCAGCTGCTACGCGAGGGCGAAACGCTGGCCGATTGTGTCAAGCTGATGATTGAGTATCATTCGCGAATATTCGAGTAAGTGATGGCCAGTGGCCACCTCCCCCGATACGGTGTTGGTACCAGCCGCAACTCCCGCACAACGCACAAAACGCATCCCCACGTCCGCCTACGCCACCAGCTTGAATCCACCTGAATGTCTCTCTTTTGTTTCGTGTCGAAATTAATGCTAATCGAAAACAAATCCAAATCCGAATTCTCCTAAACCTAAACCTGAACCTACTGTACCTGTTGTACTGCTCGCTCCTTGATCCCTTCCTCAAACCCCTCAAACCAACAACCGACCTACAATCTACAGATGCACCGCCGATCGACGCCTGCATCGCCTGAGTGTGCGAAACTTAAAGAAGACGCTATCACAGCCGGATTTACTATTCCATAACTTATTCTGATGGAACACAACCCACGCACAATGCAACACAGAGAGCGACAGAGAGAGAGAGAGAGCGAGAGAGAGCCACTGTATATATATAGTGAATGACATTAGTTATACATTAAGGTATATTCCCGTATATGAGTATTTCTTGTTAATAAATTAGATTTACGAACCTTGAAAGGCGGAACCGTTGCCATTGCTTTAATGCAGGTGAATTCATTGTCCGCTGTGGGGAGTAGCAATAACTTATTCCGGAAAACTAACAACCAACTAACTAACTTAACCAAAAAGGACAAGATTTCCACTGTGGATCTCTAACATAGATTCTGCTTTGCTTCGTGTATATAATTGCTTTTTATTTTGAACTGATTTCTCTTCTTTTTTTGCTGTTGTCATTTTTGTTTTGTTTATAATAACATTGCGGGTGGAGTGTTTGCTGTTGTGCTCGTGTACTAGGTGGTAGACTGACTGAATTTATGTATATCTCTCTCTCACACAATTACAATTACAGTCTAAACATCTCTATAGAGGCTACCGCATACATCTGCATGTAATGTAATGTAATGTTATGCTCAAGACCAACTGGTCTGCACTAAATGTAAATGTTTGTGTATATATTTGATATATGTATGTGTATGCGCGCATGTATGTACTAGGTATATAATATACTCGTTATACATAATAGAACTAGAATTATACATTAAGGTAGATATCAATTGGATATATGCAGGCGCTTTGCTTTGCCTCGACTTGTATCAAACTTTAACATTCACGCACAAAAAACACAATTGATTGGGTTGTACATGGAGGGGTTTTTCTTTCACATAATATATGTATATATATGTATATGTATGTATGTGTGTATATGTTATGCATAATGATTAGAAAACCAAACCAAACAAAAACTAAAACAAATCATTCACTTGCTCTTCTGCTGATCACAATTCTGGGATTATTAAATATAATGATGTAAATATTTCATATTAAGTTTTTGTGGCTCCAACTATAACTCGATGGGGGTATGCAAGGGTGTGGGGGGTCACATGGGTACACATCGAAGGCACAGGAATACTTATTACACGCACGCACACACAACGATTCTACGCTACAACTCTCCTCCTCATCTGCTACCAAACTGAATCGCATCTAAATAATTTCTAGGTAGTCCATGGCGGCTGCTCTTCGAGTCTCTTGCGTCTAAACGTTGACATTTTGTGATTGCATTTTATTATCGGGATTATCTACTTGAAGAATGGATTCTTCGAGGCCGAAGACTTCATGGTGCACAGAACCTGACGTTCCAATTGAAAATCATAGTCCAACGATCTAAGCAGCGTTGTCAGCTCTGGCAGTATTGGTAGCTACAAAGGCAAAGAGGGAAAACACAGCACATAAGTAAAAGATAAACATTTAGAGATTTCCCCTGTTCTGGCACACTCACATCAGTTTCTGGCTGACTCCGATGCAGCCTGACATCCATCACAAAGGGAACCCCTTCCAGTTCTGTATAGGTTCCCAGTGTTCCTGTTCCGCCATAGGCCGCACGTCCCACCACCCCACTGGCATTGGCACCCGCTGGACGTGGCGGTGCCGGGCGCTGTGGCGAATTTATTTGATAATTGGCCTGAATCTCCTCATAGTCATGATGCTCTGATGTTGGTGGCTGCGGCAGCTAAAAACAACAAAATATTCCATGTTCAATGTGAAAGCGTTCGCGTTGGCGTTGGCGTTCGCGTTCGACTCAAGCACTTACGGGTCCGCGCGAGTGTCGCTGCCCCTGCAGGTTGAGGCGATTGAGGGCCTGTTCCACCTCACAGACGCCGCCTCCAGCGGTTGCAGCTACAGCTGGCACTGGCGGCGGCAAGCGTACGGGAATGGCGCCCGTCTTGTAGCAGATGAGCACACCATTGATATCGCCAGCCAGCTTGAATCCGTCGGGTGCCACCTTAAGCTTGGAGCAGAGAATGATGTCGGTCACCGCTTGGGTCACAGTTCCCCGCTTCGACAGCTTGTAGGCGATTTGCCGTTTCCGCCAGGCCTTCTGGTCGCTGTCAGCTGTGCGCGAGAGCAGCGAGAACTCCTTCGGCGGAGTCGTCTTGTCCGCAATGACCCTACAAGCAAAGCGTTTAATGATGAGCGTGTGCTTGGGAGTGGGATTAAGCTAACTCACTGGAGTGTCTCCACCACATAGTCGGGCAGGCCCTCGGACTTGGAGAGGCACAGATAGCGGGTATTCTGGCGTCCGAAAATGCTATAGTCGCGCCATAGGTCTGCATCTGCATCCTGGTCATAGGTGCGATTAATGGCACTGAAGTTCTTTGGGCAGCTGCAAACGGGCAACAAAATATTTGATTTAATTCCCATTCGATGCTACAGCCCACTCCCCCCACTCACCGCTCAAAATCCTCGACAATGTGCAGCGAGGTAATGGGCCGATTGTCTGGCAGGAAGCTCATGATCGAGTTGAACACATTCGTTGCATTGCCGGCACCAGGTCCGGACACCACAGTTTCACTTTCTATTGGAGAGCCGAGCAGAGATGCTGTTGAGAGAGCCACAGGACTGCCACCGCCGATTGCCGAGACGCCGCTTTGGATGTGCTTGCCGACTTTGTTCATGCTGCCCGATCTGCTGCCGCTGCCGCTGCTCCACCGTTTGTGTCTTCTGATGCCGCCGAAAAGAAATCACACACAATATAAAATGTTAGTCAGTGGTTTTTTGTTCGTGTCAAAAATGTGTACAATCAAATCGTTTAAGCTGCTTTGCTGTCGATTCCCCCGCGATAAGTGATTCATGATCTCTCGTTGTCGGCACCCGCACCAGCCCGACCGCTCTCCCTCTGCTGCTGCTGTTGCTCTTGCCATTGCCATTGCCATTGCCGGCGTTCTTTTGTAGGTCGTCCGTTGGCCGTTTTTGTTGTTGCCAAAGCGAGGGCCAGGGCCGGAGACCGTTGAGAGTTTCTCTTTCACACACGCTCACACACACACAGAGACAAAGTGCGATCAAGTGCGCACTTACCAAACAGAGGAAGAAGATACTGACACTGACTAAGTGACAGATACAGATCCCGTTGTGCTATCAAAAATGTTTTATGAACGAGAGTATTTATTAAATTTCTGATAAGATATGCACGACAGATACAGCTGATAGAGCTAACTGTAAAGTGTAGACCAAGCGAATGAATGGCGTCAGTGCAGCTGCCGTTCGCTTGCCTTGAGTCATCTCAGCAAAACTTCAGCAAACTGCAACCATGCAAGAGGAGACAGCGCTCTACCCCCTCCCCGCCCCACCAACACGTAGACCAGACACATGAGCTGATGCAGGAAGCAGACAAAGACGCCGGGCCCACAACCCAATGGTGGGTGGGGTGTAGGGGGCTGTCTCCTAGCCAAACTGCACTTTGGCGCGAGGGCGCAATGCCAACAAAGAAGTGGCCCCACAGCAGCTGGGCTATTGCCGGACCACTTTGTTGGATACAAAAAGCAACCAAGAAGCCATTTAATATTACGAAATTCTCTATGGGCATTTCCAATTATAAGTTTCCCCCACTGTTCCCCACCACCAATACCATTCCGACCATTAGTCAACACAGCATCACACACACAACACTCTCACACACGCATGCAGAGTGCGCTGTATGTACATAATTAATATTCTCGCTGGCCTGGCTCTCTCTATTCTTGGATTTTGTATGACTTCTGGGACTTTTCGGACTTCACTCCTCCCCGCGTGTCCACACTGAGACCTACCTGATGAACGCGTTCCAAACGCCGGAGCCGGTTGTATTGCATTTAACAGAACATTGATGGAAAATCTGTAAAAAATTGCGTCTTTATGTATGTTTTGTTCGAATCAACAATTCGCCCGACACACATACAGCTGTTTTAAATACACTAGAGCAATCGGTGTGACCGGGGAGTTCTCGATGAAATATACCGACTGACCAGTGTTGACCAAAAAGGAGAAATAGCCAGTGAAACGATATTTTTATTGATTTAAAATTACTCAAAGATTTCTTTCAAAATTTCTATATTCTATATTCCGCTAGCCACTCGTTAACAGTTCATCCCGTATTTGGAAATTGAAAAACGCTAGATCTGTATGAAAATAGCTATATTTTCAACACTGCATCAGAAAGCTGACCAGAAAAAGGCAAGGAGGATTAAAAGTAAATCGATGTATAGTTCAACAGATATTATTGTGCGATAACACAACTATTGCTGAAAAAAAAGAAACCACGGAAAATAAAAGGATTCTCTTCATATTATCATTGATGTTAATTTATAAAATATATTCTTGTGCATTAACCTGTGAGAAACATCACTATCATGTACATGTTTCAAGCAAAAATAGGCCAAACACTCCCTATTTGAGATGGAAGCCACAAGTATCGATTGCGTGACACTTCGCAACGCCGTCAAATGACAGCTCTGCTCCCAGGCCGGCAATTTCGCCAACGCCGAAGTGTTGTCAATTTTGACAGCCAGAGTTTTGTTCTTTTCCTTCGTGGTTTTCGACTGACAAGATGGCTCCAACTGTAAGTGCGGAAAATAAATCGTAAAAGTGCAATTCAATCCTAATAAAAACGTGCGCGTGTGTTACGAAATATCCAACTTTATACCATATTCTAAATGAAAAAGTGGAAATTTCGCTACAAATTGCACTACGAATGACGTAACTGGTTAACTGATGTTTGTGTTTTATTTTTTTGTATGTGCAGGCCAAGACCAACAAGGGTGATACTAAGGCCGCTGCTGCCAAGCCGGCTGAGAAGAAGGCCGCTCCTGCCGCCGCTAAGGGCAAGGTTGAGAAGCCCAAGGCTGAGGCTGCCAAGCCCGCCGCCGCTGCCGCCAAGAACGTGAAGAAGGCCCCAGAGGCCGCTAAGGATGTGAAGGCTGCTGCTGCCGCCGCCGCCAAGGCTGCTCCCGCTAAGGCCGCTGCTGCTGCCAAGGCTGCTCCCGCTAAGGAGGCCGCCAAGAAGGCACCCGCTGCCGCTGCAGCTGCCAAGAAGGCGGCCCCAGCCAAGGCTGCTGCTCCCGCTCCAGCCAAGGCTGCGCCCGTCAAGAAGGCTGCTTCCACTGCCGCGGCTGCTCCCCCAGCCAAGAAGGCCGCCCCTGCCAAGGCAGCTGCTGCAGTCGCAGTCGCCGCTGCTGCTGCTGCAGTGCCAGCAGCCGCTGCCGCCGCTCCTGCTGCTGCCAAGCCTGCCGCTCCCAAGCCCAAGGCAAAGGCAGCACCGGCTCCCAGCAAGGTGACGAAGAAGAACGTGCTCCGCGGCAAGGGCCAGAAGAAGAAGAAGGTCTCTTTGCGCTTCACCATCGACTGCACCAACATCGCTGAGGACAGCATCATGGATGTGGCCGACTTCGTAAGTACCACCCCGAGCCATGTGGCCCAGTACCGCCATCAGCTGAACTATGGCTACCGCACCAAGCTTTCCATTGCCCCCAAACATTGCCTGGGGCTTTGGATAAAAAGTTGTGGTTATAGCGAACTTCCATTTGCGATTAAACTGCTTGCGGATTCAAAATCCGTTCCGCTAGCGGTTAACAACTCCTGGTACATGTTCACAATCAGATTAGACAAGAAGTTAGAGAAGAAAATTGTCTCCCAATTACAATTCCGTCGCTCACTCTTCGAATCGCCTATCATGGCGACACGCGTCTCTCTGCTTAAAGTGCTCCCCATTCCCGAGGGGAGTGCGCCGATAAGGGGCTCTGGTCACTGCACAACGGGGTAGCCACTGATCGCCAGTAACCTGGTACTGGCCAGTTGGTGCAACCGTCTGTGAACAGCGTCAAGCCGTGCTATGTGTACCGCCACGTGGTGGGCCCCGGGTTGAGTGCGGCACAACCGTGTCGCATCGAGCCAAAATTCATAGTGCGCCCTGCTCAAGTGCTCCGACATCCGTGACACTGCAGGTTTTCCCACAACATTAGAGCTAGACTTCCAACAGAGAAGAAGGAATATTCCTATCACGATAAAGCTCAGCCGTATACACACACACACCCGCACCCGCACCCGCAAGTGGGCAAACCGTAAGCGCTACACGCGCTACCTTTAGAGCAGGGCGCTGCTGATTGCATCGCAACCCGCTCACCATCTCCCAATCAGGTAACTACTACTAACTAAATGCATCATGATCATTATTATTATCCGTACGGGAAGAAACCGTCTCGGGCCACGACGATTTGCCGTCAGAGAGTGAAGCTCTGCGTCGCTCTGATGGCAGTGTACTCAGTGGCATATTAAAAAATTGGTCACTCTTCTAAATTTGGGCCTTCAGTTGATATCTGACTGTTGGCCTTAACACTGAAAGAGACATCTTCAACTCCATGTCGGATCGAACGCATTAATACACTTGTTGGTCTTTTGTGTCCTTTCGAGTTGCCTGCTAACTGTATTTACCTATGTTTTGCAGGAGAAATACGTTAAGGCTCGCCTTAAGGTCAACGGCAAGGTTAACAATCTAGGCAATAATGTCACCTTTGAGCGCTCCAAGTTGAAGCTGCACGTTAGCTCCGATGTGCACTTCTCCAAGGCCTACCTCAAGTACCTGACCAAGCGGTACTTGAAGAAGAACAGCCTGCGCGACTGGATCCGCGTTGTGGCCAACGAGAAGGATTCGTACGAGCTGCGCTACTTCAGAATCAGCTCCAACGATGACGAGGACGATGATGCGGAGTAAAGAGGATTACAACAACAGCAAAAAACAACAAGAGAAACATTTACAATGGCATTGTATGGCTGATTCGTTTTTATTAAATATCACGTTACAGTCGTGTTTTTATATGCAAACATCAAATTGTAAACTAATTGAAAATCTATTTTTTGGGCGTACCACAAAATAAAACAAAAACTGTGTAAACCCGATATTTAAATGTTGAATTATTTAGTTTCGGTGGCTAACTACTAATTATTGGGTGCAGCTGCATTTGCAATTAGGCTGCTGATGCTGTCTGCTGCGTCGTTCTCATCGCAGCCATTTATCCATTGGAAGGGCACCGTTACGTTACTCATCATGGCTCTATAATATAGAGTCTTCTATATCTACCTCGCTCACTCTTGTGATCGTCGGAAGCGACAAGAGAGACTGACAGGAGGAAATGTCCGCTTAGCAGACGAGTATGCATACATATGTGTGTACATGTGTATGTATTTATGTACAAGAGTTGTCCACGGCTTTTGTTTGTTTTTTGCAAATATTTGTGCACCCGGTACGTGGTTTGGTTTGTTTATTATTTATTACCTTGAATCGAAATACTTGTACCGCACCAAATAAAGACCGCACCTCTGACTAACTAACCTAAACGAGTGTGTGTGTGTGTGCGCGCCAACGCGGTGTGCTCTGAGCACGAGTGTGAGCGGGATGGAACGAGTGACGCCCGCTGCTTGTGCAATTACAGTTAATAAAAAAACCAGCACTAGTTTTCGCTATTTCATCAAATAACAACTATTTAAGGGCGAATCCCAATGCTGCCTACGCCTACGCCATGTGAAATAAAACAATTTCCATATCGCGTGCGTGTGTGGGGGGTGTTGGTCAAAAGCATTTTATTTTAACAATTAAAGAGTGCAACAAATGCTTACATACAACAATACAAAAGAAAACAGAAAACGAGCAACAATTACAATTCTAGAAAAATATAAAAACACTTTCAGTGTTTTTTTGTTTAGTTTTACTTTTTGCTTACATAATTCGTTAATTGAGAAGAAAAAGGGTATTTAGATATTCGAATGTCATTTTGGTTCACACTTGTGAGAGATTCGTTGTTGGAGACACTGACACTGTTACAGGGTTAAGGTTAAGTTAAGGAAAATACATTGGGGTATACAGTTAGATGTCTGTCTGCATACATACATATATCGAGACACTAAGCTGGGAATACTGGGATGTCGCTGAATACTGACTGCTGTAGGTTTGACGAGGGTACGCAATAAATTAACATTAACAATTTTCTCGCAATTAACACGTGCCATTTGCCATTTGTAACTTGTCCACGCCCGTGGCGGGCGGGACCATAACGCATTTGGAATATCGATCTTGGCCAGCGTAAATAGACTCTTGGGTAACAGGCGACAAATCGTTTCAAGGCCACAAAAAGCTGCAGACAGGGCGGAGTGAGACAACTAGGGAGGGGGTGCAGTGGGCGGGCGGCTAGCAGTGCAGTGACTGACGGCACCAAAACCGGTCAGTGGAGGATTTACAACGAATTGGAAAGTTCTGGAGCTGCCAGCCGCATGGCGAGTACGCCGACTGCAACCATTAAAAGGCCCAGGCCCCCTCCAGAGGTCACGGACGAAGCTCCGCTCGTGTTGGACTTGAGGGCTGCGTCCATTGATGAGGCGGCGGCTGGTGGTGTCTGCATCTGCTGTGACCCTGGCTGGGCCGGGGCCATAGGAGCCAATGGAGCTGGTCCCTCGCCGGGCGCTGCTGCCGGCGGCGGAGGTGCCGGATAGCAGGCAATCTTCTCCACCTCAATCATCTTGCTGCTGTCGGCCGGATCTGTCTCGTTGACCTTTGTGGGCACACAAATAATGCCACCGGGTGGCGGTGGTGCTGCAGCTGCAGCTGCATCTGCTGCATTGGGCACAGTCATGTTGGAGGTTTCCGGACTAAACGGCGCCATGGGAGCTGGCTGGGCATCTTGGGTGGTGTTCATTGGGGCGGCGGCTGGGGCTGGCGCTGCGGCCGCATTGATAACTGTGGTGCCATCGCTGGCATTCACCGGCACTCCATTGTTAATGATGATGATGCGGTCCTGACCGGCAGCTGCTGGAGCAGCAGCTGCAGCTGGCTGGGATGAGCTGCCGCCCGAGGGTGTCAATGCGTGGCCAAGCAGTGCGCCACCCAATCCACCAGCCAGTAGACCCGTTCCTGCAGAAAATACCATTTAGAGTCAATAAAGATTGCGAAAGAGAGAGAGAGAGAGAGAGAGTTAAACGCACCAAAGCCCAGGCCTGACGAGGATTGCTGGGGAGGCTGAGAGTAGTAGGTGGCTCCTGGAGGCAGCGCAGAGCCTGCCTGGTAATATGTGGCTCCCTGTGGTGCGGCTGGATATCCGCCACCCATGGGCACATGTCCCGACGACGGATAGTAAGTGGCGCCGGCTGGCAGATTGCTGGGATAGCCATTATGTCCTCCCGATGGATAGTAGGTGGCGCCGGGTGGGGCTCCGGCATACTGGGTGCCATGGTTCTGGGTGGCCGTAATGGGCTGATGGACGTTCGAGGTGGCTGCTCCATAGCTTGGCGGTGCGCCACCATAGCTGGGCGGAGCTGCCCCATAGCTGGGTGCATGATAGGAGGGCGCCTGCTCGTTCACATTGGGGCGAGCGCCGCCCACGGGATTGGAGGCGGAGTAGGCGGGCGGCGGACCCTGTGGCACATTCCAGCCGGCCTGTGGAGCCGGTGCCGAGCCCGGATTCGCGTTCCCATTCACATTCGGCCGATTTGGCTGCGAGTTGTAGTTGGGATAACTCAGCTTGGCCACGTCCGCATGCGAGTTACCGGCCGCATGTCCGTTCGTGCTGTAGCTGGGTTGGGTCACATGACCGTTGGAGCTGGATGAGGATGATGTTTTGCGCTGGTTGCTGCCTTGGTTACGGCGCGCATCCACAACATCAACGCCCCCTTGCGTCAGCAGGAGGGCAAACAGGCTGAGGGCGACTACTGCGCAATTGGAAGAAGCCATTTTCGGCGGTCGTCTGCCTCCGTGACAGGTCGGTCCTAACGATTTTCAATACGTGCAATGGCCCCTCAAATACGGAGCAGACTCTGGCAACGATACAAAATATTGTGCGAAATGAAAACGTTAATCATAATTCAGCGATCAAATGTGCATGCTAATTACAGAAACCAGTTTCTCTCGACTGTTTTGGCTGCGGCTGCTGCTGCTGCTGCTGCTGCTGCTGATGATGATGCTGACGATGCTGCTATTGTTGCTTACTTCGGTTATTAACTGATTTCACTTGTCTGTTGTCTGACATTGGGACGCCAAGCCAGCGAAAAGCTTTCGAACGTTCCGGACTTCAACAGATGAATAATTTTCACAATCGATGACAGACTTTAAAAGTTCACATTTCGATAGTCGCACGGTTGCTGGCCGTAGCGCGCAAATGCTGATCGAGTTCAATTTTGTTTCTTAAATTATCAAGAAGTAGTTTTATTTATTCTAAAAATATGCTCTATAAAGTGTGAGTGCCTCGATTGCCTCCAAACGTATTTCCTGTAAGGCACAAACTCTGATTCCCGCCTTAAACCTCAGCCGGTCCAGCACTCTGGTCACACTTTGCAAAACAGGACAGCTGATGGCCACAGCAACAATAACAACGACATTTAATTTGTTTGCCGGACTGTTTTTTTTAATTAAAACTAGCTGCGATGGACTATTTACCTATACTAGAACCAACTGCGACATTAATCGCATTCGATGTCTTTTTCGACGCCCTCGGTGAGTTACTTTCTTAGCAATACATACACATATGTACATAGTATGTTTGTCCCTATATTAACAGGATTTTATTGCAGAAGAATAATACTTGCGATCAACAACCAGGAATATCAGGCCGAACTGCTGGAGATAGCTCGAGAAATGTCGATAGTTGAGAAGGAGCGAAACAAGGCCCAGAGAGCGATACTCGAGCCGATGAAGAAAAGATAGCTTCCACTCAAAGGTTATCCAGTTTCTCAGGGATCCCACAAACAAACTAATATATTTGCGTTTGGACAATGGGAAGAACTTGCATGGCTCTCTGGGCAAAAGGGGAACAATTTTTTTAAAATAGCAAGACCAAGGGGAATTTACTTAGAAGGTGACGCTGTCCGCTGTCTGGGGAGGACCTATAACTTATTCACCACGCACAGAGAGAGTCACGCGCTAGAACGGGATAGAGACAGAGACTATCCTGTGGTGAAGATGTCACCGTAGGTAAGATCACACTAGTCATTTCTCTTATGTACGAAAAATCATTTATTGAGTAAATTTCTTTTCGATTTCTTTTTGTATTTTTTTCACATGTTCACAAAATTGTATTTAGGTTTTCTAATATTCTTCTTGGCCTTGGGATACAATGTAAGCTTGTGGGATGTGTTTGTTTTGTGTGTGTGTGTGTGTGTGTTAGTTAGATTTGGTTGTTTGTTTTGTGGTAAATTTTCGTATTGAGCGCTAGCAATTAACATTTAATTACACCGAAATGGGGAAAACATCTTACGCAGATTAGTACGAGTATACATCTATGTATATTTTTTGGTATAAGTTTTTGGTTTTTCGATTTTGTTTTGGGGTTTTGGATTTTGGATTCTGGGTTTTGGGTTTTGGGGTACGGGTTGAAATTAGAAAGAAGAAATTTTTGTAATTTTGATAATTGGTAAACAAATGCCCTTTACTTTACTCACTGGTAAATACTTGGTACTAAACTTATACATATGTTACAACGGCAGAAATGACATCCAGTAGTACATAGATACATAAGTTACATATATCTATAGGGGGAGCTGTTTTCTTTAGCCTATTTAATGTTGTTTATATGGTTATTTTGTGTGTGTGTGTACTTAATGGCAGATAAAAACATACACAGTACATCCATACATATGTACATACATTTTACTACACACATACATACATACGTATATGTACATATGTACAAGTTTTGTGATTATTGTACATCCATATCGATGTACCTCTCCATCGTTTTTGCAATTTTTGTCTTGTCTTTTGGTTAATTTTTTGTGAATTTATTTATTTTTGTATCTTTTTTCATAGGAAACAACAAAAATGGACGCAAAATTATTGTTATAGTAGTGTTCAAGTTGACCCATTTTGCTTTTTGTTTTTATTATTTAACTATGTATGTATATAGGAATATGCAAAACGTACACTTAATATATATTGTTTTTAATGTTTTTTTTTGTTTTTTTAACTTTTTTGCCCACGGTACTTCACTTAGGTTTCTGTTACTATATAGTAAATGCAGCTCTAAAACTTTGTATTCTCTGACATTGTTTATGTTTAGTATCTGTGTGGGTATTGTATATAGTCCTTATGCCTGCTCAAATACATTTAATAACATTTCTATAGAAATATTCAAAGCTGAGGTAGTTAATTCATTCATTATTCATTTACTTTAGTTTATTTTTAGTTAAGTTTACGTTTACGTTTACTCCATATAGTTTATATATACATATGTATATGTACATACATATATACGCACGTGGTTAGCTTACGGGTAGTATGACGGCATTACAGGTGTAGTCATCTGTACACACAACTGTACCTCTGTGTGTACCATTCTGGCATCTCATCTTATCGTTCATATTAAATTCATTTAGGGTTTGCATTGTGGGTTCTCTGGGTGTGGGTATGGTTATGGGTATATGGCTATATGGCTATATGGCAATGTTGAACATCGAAAGCGTTTTCGGAAACGAACGGATCGGTTGGGATGGTATTGGATTTAAGGAGTTCTGGAAACGAACTCAAAAGCAATAAACAATAAGCTGCCTGGCTATAAAAACTAAAATTAAAGGTACTGTAAATACGGGATACACTGAACTACAAATCAAGAAAGGCAATAATAAAAACAAGAGTGTACAAATTTTGTTTGTGTTTTTTTCTTTTTTTTTTTTGGTTTTTTTTAATAATATTTTACTCTTTTTTTGTTATATTTATAATATTTATAGATATTTTAGCTCTGTAATGTAGTTACAATTTACAATGTAGATACATACATCCGTGTCGTCAAAACAATCCAATTAAATGAACTTAACGTAAGATGTAAAATGTAGACGACGCAAAAAAAAAGCTCTAAACTAATTTTAGATAAAGATTACAAATTAAGGTAAATATAAACATAATTAATGTAAAAATATTGTTTTTTTTTGTATCTTTTTATATTCATTGTTATTTTTTTTTTGTTTTTTTTTCATGATCTTGTTAAGTATGGTATATATATATATATATATTTATAGTTTTGTAAGGGGTTTTCTCTATGTAGTTTATCTCGCCATTAAAAAAAATAATAAAATTATAAAAATGCGTGTATTTATATTTATTTATTTTTATTTTGCTGTTACGATGAGGGGTTGTGTGCTGTGGTTTGGTGTGGTATGGGGGGACACATCCAGCGAGGAGCTTTAATTATAAACTACTATCACACAGGCAACCCATCGCTGGATGGAGTAAGTAGGATTAATCGGATCATGTGGTTGTTTCAAATGCTTCTCTGGGGTTTTTACTCTTGCCGGAAAAAATGAAATACACAACAACAAAAAATGATATATGTAAATTAATCAAATTAAAGTTAAGAGAATGCCCATTATGGGCACAAAATCAATTGGAAATCCTCTCCTCTCTTTCTCTCTTCCTTTCTTTCTCTATTCCGTTCTCAAAATACCAACGGCTCAGTACACAACGGGTTTGATACGAGTAAAACTTTATAGCTGGGGTTGCATCCCATACTTATGTTTGTTTATTGTATAGGATAGGTACTTTATTTAAATTTGTTTATTATAGTTTAGGGGGTTCGGTTAAGAGTTTAAAATTTTTTGTGGGGGATCATTTTAGTGTTGTATGTGTTGATGATGTTGGTGGGGGTGTGTCTTGGGGGTTATTGTATGTATGTATGTATGTATGTATCTTTGCAATAAACATAACGGTAACTAAATATATGTTGTAGCTCAGTCTCCAGTTGATTACCGTGTATAATTTATTACAAATCGAAACAATAAAAAATATATAGGTATATTCATAATATTAAATCGTAATTAAATAAGGACTATCATATATATTTGTATATAGAAATATATATACCATGTACTCAAAATGCTTGAAATGTACAAAAACAAACAAACAAAGATTAGTGGTTGCGGTTTGGGGTTGCGGTAGGGGTAAGGGCTAGGGCTAGATTCGTAAACGGAACGTTTCCAGTTTCCTACTTCCTACTTCCTAGTTGCTCTTCGTTCCACTCGCTTCGCGTTTCGTTTCCATTCATTGGCTATACATCATATTATTTTTGCATTTTCGTATAACAATAGCAGATTATTTTTCTGTTTCTGGTTGTTTTGTTGTTCCTTTTCTGGTTGTTGTTGTTGTTTTTGTTATACATTTACATTTACATTTACGAATAGAGTGTGGCTCCGCCTTTCGAATTTCACATAGAGAATTCAGTGTGTGTTTTTGTGTGTGTATTAGGGTGTATTACGGTGTATCAAAATATCTTGATGTTTTTTTTTTTTTTGCTTTGTAATATGGTAGTTTTTTCTTTGATTATTTTTTTTTATGTTTTTTTTTAGTACATTTCTCTTACGGGCTGACACATTAGGTTTATTTCTCTTCCGTTTTTGGGATGGGATCTTAAAAGCTAAAAATATATAGTAAATGTTGAAAGTTGTATTTCATGTTTGCTTTCTCGTTTGCATTGAAAAATGTTTTTCTCGCTTTTTGTTTATGTTTTTAAAATTGTTTAGTGTATTTTAACTTTTTCTGTTGCTTTTGTTGTTGTTCCGTGCAATTTCTTGCAATCCGCTGTTCCAATCTGTGCGTTCTGCCAAGTTGTTTGGTACAGTTTCGTATAGATTTGTTATTTTTGTGTCGCGTCGTCTTTCAGAGTGGGTTTGATTTTCCTTTCAATTTATTTCTTCCTGACTAACTTTGCTGACTCTGATCGTCCTTGCTGGTATTCCTGATGTTTGCTGCTCTGGATTCTGGCTGGATTTTGCGTCCAAATTTTTTCATTTCGAAACTAAACAAAATAACCCCCAGTGTGTGTTTTATTTTTATTTTTTAATTCTTATTTTTTATGCTCTCTTTTTCAAATGCTATTTCATTGGAACTTTTTTTTCATTTATAATTATTTTCTTAAATCATCTTTTTTGCTTCAATTTTTTTTTTAATTTAGTTTTCATTAGCTCTCTTTTGCGTTCGTCGTTCTGCGTTTCCCTATCATCAATTTCACTGTGTGAGTGGCGGCTTGGCTTCTGGTCTATTTGCTTGTTTACTGCTTTGCTCTGCTCTCTGCGTTGCTAACGGTTATGTTCTCCTAGTTATTTCTCTTCATTTGCTCCTGCTGTTCTCGGTTGTTTCTGTTGCTGCTGCTGGCTAGGCTTACGTTAAAAATCGTTATCCCTATCGCTATCGTTAATCGTTATCTTCGCGCTTTTAAAAGAATGTCTCCATCATCTGTTCTTGTCCCTATCTATCTCTTGCCTGATTTCCTGCCTTAGTGCTCTCTCGAGCTTTACTCTTCTTAACAATTTGAAAAAAAAAATCTCCCATATTTTTTCGTACATTATGCCTTAAAAACCTTTATTTAAAAATGTAAAACTCCATTCTCATAGACGTAGATGGCCAAAAAAGATTCGAACAAAAAAATATAAAAAAAAATACAATAATAAAACTCTTGATTTGTACTCGTGTTTGTACCGCTAAAAACTTTTTTTACCATCAATTTTCTCCCTTTACTTTTACTTTTACGTTTACGTTTCCTTTTCTTTTTGTTTTTCTTTGTTATGTAAATATTCTTGTATATGTACATACATATATAAAAAAATATGCCTTTTTTTAAAAGTATTCCCCTGCCTTGCGCTTTTCAACTCATTTCCCGTCGGTAGTTCTTTCTAGATTCTTCTGTATAGTTCCAGCTTCCCTTTATCTTTCCTCGTCTATCAAAAGGTACAAACTTCCTCTACTGATTAAAAATTAAAACGTTTAAAAAAACCAAACTAATTAAATTTTGTCAAATCTTGTGATGGCAAAGCAAATTTTGGTTTTTTTTTTTCTCTGGTTGAAGTTGTGGGTGTTCATTTGGTCTTCTTCCTCTGCTGTTCCTGAATCGAGTTCTCAAAGTACTTTTGTGGTTTGGTGTGTGTGTGTGTGTATCTGAGTGTGTGTGGGTTTTTTTTGTTTGCATGTTTGTGTGATTGAGAGTGTCTAGGTGTTTGTGTATAAAATGTACATCAAAAGCATTTTTTGTTGTCGTTAAATAATAATAGTTTTTTTTTATCAATTTTCATTTTTTTTTGTTTTTGTCGTTTTGTTTTAGTAAGTAGTTTTTTTATAGTTTAAATAGTTGTTAAATTTAAAAACGAGTTTATCACACCTTAAACGTTATCAGTACTTGGCACAACTTACAACACAAAAAAGTACTTTTCTCTTTATTCCTTTTCTCTTCTCCCATTAATTGTTCACTTTTCGTTTTCTTCCTTCTATTATTTTAGTTTGCCCAAAAGCACAACTTAATTTCAACCTTCTTAAATGTTTTCCGAAGGGAAAAACTGCACAAAGAAGTGTCCGAGCGTGTGTGAGTGTGGGAATATATTGAGGGTACACTGTACCAATAAAGTAAGCAAAGTAAGCCTTCTGCATGCATATGTATGTACAACAGTACATAAGTACTCCAATGCAAAAATGTAGAATTCATTCGGAATCAATAAACCAAACGGAGCGGACGCTCCAAACGCAAACGGACCTACTTGGATGTTAATACACAGGAGAAAATAGATTAAATCGAAAGATTGGTAAACATTTTGATGGGACTGTACACCAGAACGCTGGTACACTGTCCGCTATGGTGCCGACTAAATTTAGTCACAGCCAGCGGTCAGGACTGTCGAAGAAATAGATAATTACAGAAGTTCCCACACACACACATTCCAAAGGAGATAACTGGTCCACTTTTGATCTGTTTTCCCCTTTTTCTTTTGGGTTGAAATCACGTTTGCTCTTGCCAAACATTCTTACTTTTTTCCGCTTTTATGTAGGTTTCTTTCCTGCCTAACCGTTCTCATTTAATGCTTTAATAACGATATAAAATAGCCTCTAAATACTAAAAAATAATTTCGTTTCTGCTGTTCACTTTCCATTCTCGACATTCATTCCCCAAATTACAACTCTTTCGTCCTCCTCCGTCACTATCGTAATCTTTATCCCTATCCATATCTTTGTCTTCGTTTTCAACGTTTCAACGCGCACGCTAACTCACAAGTTCTCAGTTTTCCGTTCGTTTTGTTATTTTATGTTTTGTTTTATAATAGTATTATGTGGTTTTATATCATGTTTAACCCCCATCGAAATAAACCAGAGCTATAGCTTAAATAAATCGTCTTTCCGTCTCCTTCTCGCCTCGCCTTGCCTCGATCTGATCTGACTTTTCTTTGATTCAGCATTTGGAATAATAGTTTTCATTTCTTTGTTCTTTCTTTCTCTCTTCTTCGAATTATCCTCCTTTTAGCCGGGAAATCTTTTAGAAAAATTCCTCACTTTCGTTCTTTATAAATATTGTTATTTTAAGCATAGTTCCACATGTCTATATATATCTATATATATGTATATGTATAGGTCTTTGTATTGACAACTTTGGACATTTTTCCATAGAAAAAAAATAAAAAAAATATAATTATAATTATAATAATCAATTAGAATAATTATTGTTATAAAAAAAGGGGACAAAAATGATTAGATTTGTATATATATAAATATAAGATATATCCATAGATATACATATATAGTTTCTCAAGTATAACAAAACAAAATGTCACGCATTTTCAACATATACATATATATATAATCGCATATATATATATATAGTGGCTTGATTCCCGTATATATAGATCAATGTTAATGCCTAGCAACATTCTTATATACACTTCCCATTCTATCTGCATCTGTTTATCCTCCTACAGCTGCTCCTCATGCTCCTGCTCCTGCTCCTCGTACATACATCCCATCCCATCCCTCGATTTACTCAGTTTTATCTGTTTTAGTTTCAGTTTCAGTTGTCTGGCATATGTATATTATCTGGGTGGGGAGTTCGACCCGAAACTTTTGTCGCATGGGGCTTTGGTGGGTGATTGATTGATTGATTGGTTTGTTTGTTTGATTGGTTGCTGTGTGATTTGATTGGATTGGGATTAGGCTTTCGCTTGTGGACAAACCGTTCCTAAAAGATATTCTCTGTCCGGTAAGATTTATGATCGAAATTGGTTTGCTTGCTTTCTTTCTGTTTTAGTTTTCTTAGATGATATGCCTTTTCCAAAGTTGAAATCATTTTCTTTTGTTTGCTTTTTCTGGTTGGTATTTCTTTCTGGTTGGTATTTCTTTCTGGTTGGTATTTCTCTGATTCTGATTCTTTCATTCTCAATTTTCTGTTTTGTTTTTTCTTCGTTAAATCTTTCGCTTACACACTAACGTTAATGTTTAGGTTTTTCGACATTCGTTTTTATATTTTATTTTTATTTCATTTCTGTTTAGCTCATTTGTAGGATATCTATTCATTATGAATGTTCTTTGTTTGTTTTTTTGTGTTTTTTTTTCTTTTTGCTTTGTTTTTTCTTTTTGTAGAAGATAATGCACTTACATTGAGGTATTTTAATTACTTTTTCAATCTTCTTCATCAAAGTTCTTCTTGTGGTTTGTTTCCCTTTGTTTCTTCTTAAAAAGAGCAAGGAGAATGTGATATTTCAAAAAATTGGGCTGCCCCTAAGCTTGTACACTCTGCTTGCTGGCCTAAAATGCTTCTTGAATTTTTCTCCAAAAATGTTGTTCTTCTTTGTCTTTGTGATTTTTTTGCGCTTTTCCACAAAAATGTTTTTTGCCACTCAAAAGTTTTCATCTTGTTGCTTGTTTTTTTGACCGAAATGTTTTTTTTAAGTTTGTTTTGTTTTTGGTTTGCCGAAATGTTGATTTTTTCTTTTTAGTTTTAATTTCTTTTGGGTGCCTGAATATAACAGTTTCTCTCTTTCTTTCTGATTTGTCTGTCTCTGATGCAAGTGTTATACAAACAAAAGGGTTGGGCTGGTTGGGGCTTCGGGGTTAGTTTGATTTGATTTGTTTTGTTTTGTTACATTAATTCTATGGAATAGCTACTAGTACTTGTAAGATTTACGTTAATTATTAGTTAATAGGTAATAGATGATGCCTTAAAACATCACAGAATCGGGCTATTGCAGTTGCTATATGTAGTATGTATGAATGCTTTTGGCTTGATTGTTGATTGTAGTTTAGTTTGATTGTTTGCTGCTCGGGATACAGTTACTTGGATTGCGGTTTCATTAGCTATGGCTTGTGATACTGTTCAGCTGCTCTCTAACTGTATTACTGTGCTACTGTTCTACTTCGCTACTGATCTACAGCTGCAGTTCTCAGCTAAGTTTGAACCACATTAAATGCACTCTTAAGTTTGATTTTTTGTGATTTTATGTGGGGGTTTTGGATTTTGGATTGGGTCTATGTCTATCTGTCTATATTTTCTGTGTGGTGTCCCATCCATGTATAACAGCTTGTCTCTTTCATACACGCTCAAACGTTATAACGTAACACTTAATGTAACGTAACGTAACGATCAACTTTTCTTCGTTCGATTAAAAAAAATTAACATTTCAGCACCGTTATTTCATTTCTAGTTAGTTTCTTTCACTTTCGTTTCGTATTCGTATTAATTTTTTTTGTTTTGTTTCTTTTGTTTTCATTTCAAGGCAAACACATTACAATAGTTTTCTTTAACACTTATTCCTCGCTTGCTGTCGCTTTCGCTCTAGCTCTAGCTCTCGTTTGTCTCCTTCTATCCTCCTCCTCTAAGTATAATCAACAATTCTTGTAACTTTTTTGCCACACACAAACAAACAAAAAAGAGCTATCAATGCAAACAACTTTCTCTTGCAGGCATCGACAAGACTATTTTACAGCTGTACAGTACAGTTAAACATTGCTCTCGCTCTGGGCATTAACGGGAAATCATATCCCCTGCTAATGCTTTGCTCACTCCATCCTTTCATCCATTACATCAATTACAATGGCAGCTCCTTACTATATTGTATACATTAGATAGTTTTCATTTCTTAGTTGCTTTATAGTAGGGTAGTGCTGGGTTGGTTTCTGTTATATGTACTATGTACAACTGTTGTTGGGCGTAACAGCTACATCGACATTGTATAGTATAACTGTTACACTTTCCTGGCGTGCATTTTGCTTTGCTTTTTATTTCTCGTGTTTTTTTTTTACTGTTTCTCTTCTGGTTTGTTCTTATCTGTCCTGTTTAATTATGCATTGAATGTTTCGTTTTATTTTGTTTTGGTTACAATAATGTGTACAATAATTTCTGTTTTAATTGTTGTCCAAACAAAATCAACTTTTTCTATTTCGATCTTACTTTTCTCATCTTGCTTTCCATCGGCTTTCAATTCTTGTTTTTGGCTTAAATGTAAGCTTACTAAATGCTTGTTTTAAAAAAAAATAATTAAGAATTAACTTGTTTTAATTAAATATATTTAAAAAAAAATATAACGCATACACTTCTCAATTTTTGCCCTTCCTTTTGCTTCTGCTTTCGCTTTCACTTTCTGCTCTTCCTTCATGCACACCATTCTGTATGGATGGGGGAAGAGGGGTGTGTGGTGGTAGAATGTGTTCAACGTTGGACTTTGTGCTGTTGTCGAGTATTTTTGTTGGATGAGGAAAACCTCCTTCAGATATCTGTTTATCTGTTATATCTGTTATACATGGCACACAGCACAAAGTGGGGGAAGGGGCATCACTTTTTTTCTTTCAACTTAAGAATTTTGCTTTATTTCGTAGCATGCTTTTTTTTGGGATGGTTTTTAGTTGCATTCCCAACTTTTATGCACTGTTATAAACTAGGAAGAAAATCTTTCACGTGACGATTTCGACCTGTTTCTTTCTCTGTTTCTATTTCTGTTGCGGATCGGTCGCCTGTGCCAGCACGAAGGTGGCGTCTATGGTTGGCTGTGGTTGTGATTGTGGTATGCCATGGGTATGGGTAGGGTATGGTATTGGTTTGTAATTATGTGAGCCGAGGATCGGAGGTAGTATTCATGGTAGTAGTAGTAGTAGTATTAGTTGTGGTAGAAGTAGTACATAAAAAAGAAAACCCTGCCTTGGCTATTGCTGGATATCGATGGCTGCTGGTAGCATCCTCCAATTGTTGTTGTGGTTGTGTTGCTGTTTGATTTTTCTGGTTGCGGCGCTACATCTTCTCCTTCCTCCTCGTTCCCAATGATTTATTTGCTTACTGCTTCTTACTGCTGAGAGCTCGCCAGCTGCTGCTGGGAGGCGGCCAGAGTTTCATTGCTGCCGCTCAGTGGTGGCGACGCTTGCTGCTGCAATTGGTGCGAGGTCGCTGCCGATGACGCCTGCTGCTGCTGTTGCTGCTGATGATGGGCAGGAGGCGTCGATGACGACGACGACGCCGACACAGATTGGTGATGCGATTGCTGCGGCAAAGGCTGTTGCGGCAACGTTGGCGAGAGTTGCTGCTGCTGCTGTTGCTGAAGCTGCTGGGATCCACTGGACGCAGCACCGGCTAAGCTCAGTTGCTGTTGTTGCAGTTGTTCTTTGGCAGCTTTCTGTTTCTTGGTCACTGGCGGCGGATTCGTCGACAGCATCATGGCCCGGATGCGACGCTGGGCGGACTGCAATGATAAATGGGGATGGATTTCAATCTGGCTCCACGGCTCCATTCTTGCTCAGCCACTCACCTGTACGCTGTAGAATGGCCCAATGATGTGAACGGGCGTCTCCTCATCACCGCCAGCTGGCGGGGCCAAGGCATGCTCTGGCAGCTTGATGACACTGCCCGTCACGCGCTGCAGCTCGCGCACATTCTGACCACCCTTGCCGATAATACGACCGACCTGTGTGTGTGTGTGAGTGTGTGTTTAAAGTGTGAGTCAATTAGTTAAAAGGAATCAAGGGCATACCTGAGAGCTGGCCACTAGCAATTCAACCGTTAGACGAACATCATCGGTGCCGCACATAAAACCCTCTTCGCGCATCTTCTCAAATATCATGTACTGCGCCTTCCACTGACCCTCAGGTGTGCCAACAATCGTCACTTTACGTTCCGTTTGTTGGTCCAGCGGCTTGTCGGCATCGAGGGGAGCAATTTTAAGGGATGCATTCGAGAATCGCATTATGCTCCGGATATGGGAGCCCTTGGTCCCGATGATCGCACCAACGGCATTGCTCGGTATATAGAGATAAGTCGTCTCCTGCAGATCATTGGGGAAGACGGGCGGCACCACGCTGGCCGGCGTCTTGGACATGGCAAAGCTCTGACACGATGGGAATGGCATGCTTGTGTTAAAGACCATACCATTTCCGGGTGTCGACATCATTGCCATGGGATGGAGGCCGGGGAACATGAGGCTCTGCGGTGCCATCGCCTGCAGGTCATTCTCGTAGCTCTGGCGCAGTTTGGTGCTGATCTGGTTCTCGGCCCGCGACATATTCTCGATCAAACCCTTCACCGTGATGATGCGCTCCAGATTGAAGCTGTTAATGTCATTGATCGAACTGACGGTGATCTTCGTGTCAGTGTCCTGCATGATGCGCTTGATGGTGTTTCCGGACTTTCCAATGATCCTTCCAATCAGATTGTTATGGGCCAGTATCTTCAGGCAGATTTCACTGTGGAATGGAGGGAGGAGTGCATAAAGAAATGAAATGAGTATGAGAGTTATAAATGCCATTGATCAGTGCTCACCCCTTATTCGTGGATAGGGCCTCCTGTTGCATCACCTCCAGAATGCGCTTGCAGGCATTGGTGCAGTTCTCTGGATTTCCATAGATCGTGATCGACTTCTCCAGGGAGCCGACATTCTCCTTGCGATGCACATCCACACGGGCACGACTCTGCTGTGTGATTGTCCTGATCGTGCTGCCCTGTCGTCCGATAATGGCCCCAACCATTTCACTCTGAACGAGAATGCGCAGCGGAAAGTCAGCCTGACGTCCGGGTCCTGGCATTCCAGGGTACGGATTGCGCTGATTGCGCTGACTGCGACGCTGGTTTTTATCCAGTTGCTCGCAGTGGAGCTTGTTGCCCTCAAATTCGACTCCGTTCAGGCCGCCAGCAGCTCTGTGGAATGGGAATGGGTTTTTGTTTTGTTTGAGAAGAGTTGATTAGTGGGCGTTTCGCATAGAGGGGATAAATAGTGGAGATTTTGAGATCGGGGTTGGTTTTCATTTGCTAAACATTGAACAACAGAAAGAGGATCCCCCCCTCCCAACACACACGCCCACGCATACACAGTCCCAGCCCGCCAGCTCTCTCTTTCTCTGTATCTCTGTATCTCTCTCTCTCTTTAGAGAAAATATATCCAGGCTTAACACCGATATTCACTGAGAGCTTTCAGCATATTTTTGTTTTTGTGCTCAATAAAATTCCCCGATGTTAAGCCAGGATCTGTTTGGGTCTGGGGGTCGATTGGGGTCGGGTTTTGTATTTGGTTTGGGGGTATATACCTTTGCGCCTGCTCAGGGTTTTCGAATGTAATATGTACTGTTTGAGTAGATTGGTCCTTACTAGAAATAGCTTCGCATTGTTTCACGATGCCGAAGGGCTTCAGTAGCGGTTCGATGTCTTCGAAACGTGTTTGCATCGGTATGCCGCTTATTAAGAGTTTTGATGTCGTAACACTGCGAAGAAAATGGCGTGAAAAAAAACACACACACGGTGAAAACAAAACAAAAAAAAGATAGAAAAAACGAAAACAAAAAAGTAGTAGTAATTGTAGTAGGTTGTAGTAGTAGTAATAGTAATAGAAATAGTAGTAAGCCGAAAACACACCAGAAGAAAAAAACAGTTAACACAAACACACAAAAAAACAAGAGGAGTGATGAGAAGTGATAGTAGGGATAGGGACATTAGCAGTAGAAAAATGAGCAAGGAAAGAAAGAAGGAAGAGGAAGGGAAATTAAGTAAATGAAATGGCATGAAAGGATAACGGTAATGCTATAAATAGAGCAGCGTCACGGCAAAAGCACGACACATTAAAGAGAGCGACAGATAGTAGCATAGAGAGAGCGAGAGAGAAAGCCAGAGTCGTAGCAGCGCAAGTAACATCTAGAATTTAGCATTTTTAGGAGTACTTGTGCATGTGTGTGCGTCTGTATGAGATGATGCACTAAACTAAATTTAGTACCAAAGAGAGATCACGATTCACTCACACGAATAGACAAGTCACACCCACACACACTCAGGGCTGGCAGGGAATAGGCACACTACAAAAAAACACCCAAAGTAACGGTCGGTCCTACACAGCTCGCGCAGCAAGTTTTTTTGGCTAAGTACACACATACAACACATGTACATAGATCATACGCGAAAAGAGCATCACAACAAACACACACAGACATTATTCCATATACAAAGAGACATCTACTAAAATTTGGCGGCAAAAAAGGCTCAATCCATGGCGCCTGGGCTGGGTGTGTGTGTGTGTGTGAAAATATGCTAGTAGTAAGTACAAGCCTAAAAAACAAACTAAATCTAAGCACATTTTACAAGCCAAACGAGCACGTGAAAAATGGGAAAGGACACCGATGTTCAACAGAGATACTACTAATAATTATGCAAACTACATGGACAGAAGATGGGAGTGATGCGGGGGAGCCTCCCAATACGCCCAAAAGCTACATACGTTACATTTACCTGTGGCACACCAACTCCGTCGAACTTTCAATATATTGAGATGAATATATAAAATAATAGGCCATGCCATTATGCCATATAGCCATATCCAAATCCTCCATTATGAAAAAACCACAAACTTAGAAACAGATAGAGCGAGTCGAGAGTTCAAAATCAAATGAACGAAAAATCTCTTTGTGGTACTGCAGTGCTACTGCTGCCGCTGCGGCTGCGGCGCCGAAACTTTTTTCTCGTCTCCTTCTTCTTGTAGCTTATGAGCTCAGTGTCCTATCGGCTCTATCTCTTGTGCATAGGACAAGGCTCTGCCGCGGCGCTGCCTCTCACGTACACGCGTAACGCTGTGATGCGTACCAATACACTGAAATGTTCCGTTTCGCGTGCGTCTTCACACACTGGCAGGGAATAGGCGTACCACAAAAAAACACCCAAAGTAACGGTCGGTACTAAAACAGCTCACGCAGCAAGTTTTTTTTGCTAAGTGCACACATACAACACATGTACATAGATCATACGCGAAAAGAGCATCACAACAAACACACACATACTAAAATTTGGCGGCAAAAAAGACTCAATCCATGGCGCGTGGACTTGGTGTGTGTGTGTGTGTGTGAGTGAGTGTATGCTAGTAGTAAGTACCAGCCTAAAAAACACACTAAATCTAAGCACATTTTACAAGCCAAACGAGCACGTGAGGAAGTGACTTACACATGAGTACAAACATGGGAGGAAAGAAGATGGGAGTGATGCGGGGGAGCCTCCCAATACGCCCAAAAGCTACATACGTTACATTTACCTGTGGCACACCAACTCCGTCGAACTTTCAATATATTGAGATGAATATATAAAATAATAGGCCATGCCATTATGCCATATAGCCATATCCAAATCCTCCATTATGAAAAAACCACAAACTTAGAAACAGATAGAGCGAGTCGAGAGTTCAAAATCAAATGAACGAAAAATCTCTTTGTGGTACTGCAGTGCTACTGCTGCCGCTGCGGCTGCGGCGCCGAAACTTTTTTCTCGTCTCCTTCTTCTTGTAGCTTATGAGCTCAGTGTCCTATCGGCTCTATCTCTTGTGCATAGGACAAGGCTCTGCCGCGGCGCTGCCTCTCACGTACACGCGTAACGCTGTGATTCGTACCAATACACTGAAATGTTCTGTTTCCCATGCGTCTTCACACACAAGCGCAAAAACGGCCCGTCATTGCATGGGTGCCGAGCCCTGCACTAAATTTAGTACCAAAGGGAGATCACGATCCACTCACGCGATTAAACAAGTCACACCCACACACACTCAGGGCTGGCAGGGAATAGGCACACTACAAAAAAACACCCAAAGTAACGGTCGGTCCTACACAGCTCGCGCAGCAAGTTTTTTTGGCTAAGTACACACATACAACACATGTACAAAGATCATAAGCGAAAAGAGCATCACAACAAACACACACATACATTATTCCATATACAAAGAGACATCAACTAAAATTTGGAGGCAAAAAAGGCTCAATAAATGGCGCGTGGGCTGGGTGTGTGTGTGTGTGAATATATGCTAGTAGTAAGTACCAGCCTAAAAAACACACTAAATCTAAGCACATTTTACAAGCCAAACGAGCACGTGAGGAAGTGACTTCCACATGAGTACAAACATGGGAGGAATTGGAAAGGATACCTATGTTAAACAGAGAGAGTACTAATAATTATGCAAACTACATGGAAAGAAGATGGGAGTGATGCGGGGGAGCCTCCCAATACGCCCAAAAGCTACGTTACATTTACCTGTAACACACCAACTCCGTCGAACTTTCAATATATTGAGACGCATAAATAAAATAATAGGCCATGCCATTATGCCATATCGCCATATCCAAATCTTCCATTATGAAAAAACCACAAACTTAGAAACAGATAGAGCGAGTCGAGGGTTCAAAATCAAATGAACGAAAAATCTCTTGGAATCTGGTGACCAACTCTCAAGAACGGCGACAATGCTGCCAATTTTGTGGTACTGTAATGCTACTGCTGCCGCTGCCGCTGCCGCTGCGGCTGCGGCTGCGGCGCCGAAACTCTTTTCTCGTCTCCTTCTTCTTGTAGCTTATGAGCTCGCGGTTGTCAAATCGTTGTTGTTTTTGTTCGACAGCTGGCGAGTGGCAAGCCAGATACACAGCTTGTGAAAGAGAGCGGGAGCGGGCATTGAATGCCGCCTCACCTCACATTCATGTGGTACATGTTCTACATATTTTTTGTATTCTCCTTTTGTCACTGATATTCTAACGCGTCTCCTTTGGCTGCTGCATCTCCCCTACACCCAACACACCAATCCAAATCCAACGACCAGCGACACCGGCAACAGACGACGCGTATGGGAATGAGGAATGAGAATGAAAGAAGGCAATGGCAAAAAGCTACGAATGGAATGTTGCACATTTAATATCGTGTTTATTTTTCTTGGAAGTAATTTCATTCCAGTCGGCGACCCGACCGAAGTCGCCGCCAACAACAAAAACATCCAAAGATGGAGAGAGAGAGAGATATCAAATAGGAAGCAACAGACAAGAAGGAGGAAAGAAGTCGTCGTTATTTTTTTCGCACATTTTCGTTTGTTTTTTAATTAAAATTTTGGTTAGGATTTTATAAATGATTTTATTTTATGTACTGTAGAATTGATCAGTACTTGTGCAACTAAATGTTTGATTCCTTAAACTGTATAAACCTCTCAAACTTTCTCTCTGAAACTATAGGAAGAGAGGAGGAAAATAAAGGCCAAAGAAAGAACTGTAGTACATTCCATTCTCCCGCATTCCATTCCCATTTACCACACCCCCTCCCAGGCAAACTGTTGACCATCGAGATCTAATTTTTCGCTCCCATTCCGTCATTGCCGTTTTGTTTTTTCCTTTTGCGCTACATTTCTCAGGCTGCGACGGCTGTGGCTGTGCAGCACTCGTTCCGCCGGTTCAGGCTATATGAAGTTTTCAGTTTTTCTTTTCGCCGGAATTCCAGACGAATTCTGCAGCGTTTGCTGTTTTACATTGTATTGCTCTCTCTCTTTTTGCTGGAATCTGATCTCCTGCCCGTTTCAACCAGTGGGGTATTCTGATAGTCTGGCCTGGCTGCCTCCAGCTATGTATAGATGAATGTAACTGTAACTGCTGAGCATGCGTCACGTCTACAGACCCAGCCACAGCCTCTGCATGAATATGCATGCAAATTTCATGCTGCAGTTCGTTGACGTTGCTGCCAGCAGAGCAGCGACCGCAGTGCACGTCCAATGAAAATGCTCCATTCGCTTTCTCTCTTTCCCCCAGCGCCCAGCTGCGCAAGTATTAACCAGTCTCTGTTGCATTTCACCTTTCCTGTGTTACTTGTTGTTTGTTGCTCTTGGCTCTTCTTCATTTCTATTTTTTTTTAACAAAATGTGAATGATTTTAAGCAAAAGACCCCCATGAGGTCACAGGGGGAGAGAAAGAGAGATTTTTTGCTGTTTTTCCGTTTCAATGTGAGATACTTCTCTGCCTACCAAATGATGATAATAACTACCACAATAGCTACGTACTTCTATGACTACTACATTACAAGGGATCGATCAGAGTAACCAATTTCCTGCTCAGAGGTAGTCAAGGATGGTTGGCCTAAGCAAATTATTTTGAAAGACCCGAATTGTACCACTTCTCTCCCTCATAATCCACACCCAACATCATGTATTCGATTGACGTGAATTAAACATCGAATGACGTTGATTTTATGTCATTTGACGTCATTCGATATAAATGACACGACCAGAAAGCATTCGCCTTGAGCGATATTTGTATTTTTTACATTGAAATACTAAAGAGACAACAATGTCGCGCAAAGTGACAGCAACACTCAATGCAAGAAGCGAATCTATTATGAGGAGTGCACATCCCTCTAAAATGTTTCAGCTTTGTTGAACATTTTTAAATATATTTATACAGATCAGCTGTGTGCTAAACTTTCTCGATTT